GGAGCAGGGACAGACAGGAGGAGACAGACACACACACATGGAGCAGGGACAGACAGGAGGAGACAGACACACACACATGGAGCAGGGACAGACAGACAGGAGGAGACAGACACACACACATGGAGCAGGGACAGACAGACAGAAGGAGACAGACACACACACACGGAGCAGGGACAGACAGACACACTGAGAGGGGCAGACACAGAGAGAGAGGTGGGCAGAGAGACTCCTCAAGTGTTGGCGCAAATAGCTACCCAATATGCCCATTTCACAGATCAGGGAGCAAGGCCCAGACAGGGTTAGTGCTTTGCCCAAGGCCACACAGGAAGTTAATGGCAGAGCCAAACCTTGAATGCAGACCTTCTGCACTTGTTATTTTCACAATCTGGGAAGAATGCATTAAACAAGGCAGAGGTCTTGAAATCAGGGTGTCCTGAATACCAAGAGGAAGAGGCAGCATACACCCAAGTACACCTTGAGTGGCTCTATCGTCCTCAGATCTCCCACTCTGAAGGTCACAGGGTATCTAGTCTAGCACCAGGTTAAGAGACTGTGAAGGTCACCTCCCAGCCCTCAAGCTCCAGGCTCCCAGAGCCTCAGCTCCCATGGTCCTAGGGCCCAAGATAGGAGGTCCAAGAACCCCACATACTTGATGGGCCCTAGATTCTGGAATTCCTGCCAAATCATGGCTCGAGCCCTGTCTTCTGCACCAGCCTTGAACTCAGACTTCTTCTTCCTCCAGCCCCTGGAACAGAGAGTGGGGCAGTTAGGAGTGGCCACTGCCGCTCTGACTTCCCTCCCCCCAACACCACCATCACCTGGCCGAGCCACATTACCACTGTCCCCTTGGACACTGCAACAGCCTGATGACTACCTTCCTTTTTGAAAGCCAGTTCCTCCCACAAAAGTCTGGGTGATGCTTTGAAAATGAAAATCTGATCATTTGGCTCCCAGGCTTAAAGACACTAGTGGGTCAAACAAGTACCTGAATAAATAGATCAATTGATGGAAAAAAAAATTAAACTGCCCAGAAGTAGACCCAAACACGTATGGGCATTTAGTCTATGATAAAGTCGATGGGCTATTCAGCAAATGCAGGAGCGGATTACCCGATAAGCAAGGGAAGCAGGGGCTTACTTGTGCTTACTCCTAATCTGCAGTGAGCAGTTTCACATGTTCTTCTGCCACATCAGAGATGAACTCATGTGAAACTGTTCACTATAGATTAGTGAGTAAGCACAAGTAAGCCCCTGCTTCCCTTACTTACTGGGGGCTCCGTAGCTGTCAGGGATTATGAATTTGAAAAGAGGCTTTGAATCTGCAGGAAGGTGCTGTGGGGTTTGGAGACAGACAGATGCCAGCCATCCCTAGAAGCAGAATCTTCAATGTGAGAAAATGTGAAATTGCTTATTGGGTAATCCGACACTGAAGAAGGATCTCTGGTGGCATAGTGCCTAAGGCACTTGACTGCTAACCAGAAGGCTGGCGGTTCAAACCCACCAGCCACTCCTCGGAAGGGAGGTTGGGCAATCTACTTACATAGAGATACCGCCCTGGAAACTCAAGAAGGGGTCGGTATGAGTCAGGTCCGACTCGACGGCACATAACAACAACAATGACGACACTGAAGAAGTGGGTTATTAAGTTGGGACAATGGCTGACCATCTGGAACAAAAAGGAAGTTGTATCCAAACTCCTCGCTGTATGCTATAGCAAACAGATCAGACTTAAATGTGAAAAATAAAAGTACTAGGGACAAAGTGGGATTAGTCTTTTATAATCTCATAATGGGAAGACCTTTTTAAGGACAATTGCATAGTGCCTAAGGCATTTGACTGCTAACTAGAAGGCTGGCAGTTCAAACCCACCAGCCACTCCTCTGAAGGAAGGTTGGGCAATCTATCTCCGACATGGTACTGCCTTGGAAACCCAAGGAGGGGTCGCTATGAGTCGGGTCCGACTCAGTGGCAGTCAGTATAAGAAAAGATAAATAAATCTACCAAAAAATAATTGCTTTTATTCTACAGTGGAGAAAACACTATTTGCAAAGTCAAAAAACAAACCAGGGGAACAATATGCAGCTCATAGCATAGAATAAAGGCTCATCTTTCCAATATATAAAGAACACTGTAAATCAGTAAGACCAAGAACAACCATCCGGTTGGAAATGTACAAAGAATACGAACACACAGCTCAACAATTCACAGGAAAGGAAACACCAATGGCTCCCAAACATATGAAAAGTTGTTCAAATCATTTTCAATAGTATAAATGCAAATGATATTTTTCTTTTCAGATTGGTAAAAATCCCAGTTCACTACAGGGGAACAGACATTCTCATTGATTGTTACTGGAAAGCACATTAGTACAATTCTGACGGAGGACAATTTGACAATATCTGTTCAAATATAAATGTGTTTATACTCTGATCCAGAAATCTCAGGTCTGGAAATTTGTCTCAGAAAAAAAAAAAATCTTGCAAGTACACAAAATGTATCAAGGAAATATATTTGTATCTGCTTGTATTTGTTAAAGAAAACCCTGGAAGGATACTCAAGAAACCAATAAAATGCATCTCTGTTTTGAGGGATATACTGGGGGGAAAGGATACACATGGGCCCATATGGTTGGGAACAAGACTCACTGCCGAGTCTTGTATCGTTCTGATTTCTGGACCATACGTATGTGCTATCTATTTTATTTTTTAATCAAACACTGTACCCCCTTCTCTTCTGGCCATGAACATTCACCTCAGTTAAAGAACAATACCATTTAATAATTATGAATGATGGAAGCACATCTTGTTTGGTACAGAGGCAGGGAAAAAGGGAAACTCTCAAGGAGGTGCATTGGTCCAATAGCCACAGCAAGAGACAAACCACCGATTACCATGAGGGTGGCACAGGACTGGATGTGTTTAGCTCTGTTGTACATGAGGTGACCACCAGTGGAGGGGACTCCATGGCAATTAGCAACCACAGCAACATTCACCAAGGGTTCGGGCGTGGCAAGTGAGTCACATACGTTACCCACAATCCCCACCCCCAGGAGGTTAGGACCGCTATAATCGCCGCATGGGTCCTAACTATAATGATAAGCCTTGGTTTACACTGCAGCACCACAGGCTTCAGAAGGCCTTTTCCCTCTCGAGTGAGGCAGGTGGGATGCAAACAGTTCAGCCTGGCCCCAAAGCTTGCTGTATTTCTTCTTCCTCACACCACCTCCCGAGAATAAAACCAAGTACCTCACGGTTATTCCCCCATACAGGAAGGAGATCCAAAGCCAGCCCACCAACAGGAACAGCAGCATGAGTGGAAAGGCGAAAATGAACCAGGAGCCAAAGTTCACCAAGTCGCACTGTGGGAAGAAACTGGAGAATAGGAGGACATGAAAACCAATTTGGGGGAGCGGGTGGGAGATACATGCAGTGATGGATCAAAAGAGGAGTGAACCGGGCCCCTGGGAGTGTTGCAGGAAAAGAGTTTTCCATATCTTCTAACACAACCGAAAAACCAAACCGAACTCCCTGCCATTGGGTCGATTCGGACTCATACTGACCCCCATTGGGTTTTCCAGGCAGTAAATCTCTACGGAAATGACCGTCCCATTTTCCTTTCCAGGAGTGGCTGGTGGGTTTGAACCACCAACCTTTTGGTTAGCAGTCTAGTGTTTTAGGCACTGTGCCATGAGATCTCCTTCTCCTAATAGGAGATACCCCTTTTTCTCTTCTTTGGAGGGGATACTGAGTTTCTGATGTAGTGGGACCGTAAATGCACTCCAGGGTCAAAAACTCAATGGCTCCTGGGGCCAGAGAGGTAACCCGAGGGAGTGAAGCACGCCATATTGGAGATGGGGAAACTGAGCAGCAAAGGCTCCATCAAATGGAGCACTGGGCTCCCCCTACTGTTGCCATGCGAGAGTGCAGGCTTAGTGAGGTTTTTACTGGAAATCATGTGAGGTTTAATTGTTGGCAATTCATGAAAGTGTTCTTTAAAGATTGTGGGAGCAAGAGAAATCTGTGGACTACAACCTCTGCCCTACTCACTGTAAGTCCTCATGGACCCTGCAAGTCCTGCCCAAACTATGTCGACGGCTCTGCATGCTTTCTCTGCCAAACAGTCCAGCCTCAGCTTTGTTAAGGCATGCTCTAGCCTGAAAGGGTTAATGGCAATAACATTCAGTGTTGGTGAAAGTGTAGAAAACCAGGCCCTGGCATGGGTAACTCCCAGGGCCTGTCCTTGGGAACAATCTTTTTCTGGAGGGAAATTTGGTAAAATGCCTTCAGAGCCTTGAACATGCTAGGCCCTTTCTTTTACCCAGATATCCTGCTACTAAAATATATCTCAAAATAGAAAAGCCGAAGTGGGGTGGAGGAGATGTGTGCTGGATCGGGAAAGCAAGCAAGTAAATTACACAATAATATGTTAGGCGTTCTTTCAGCAAAAGTAGGGACACAAAGCCACTCATACAATAAACAACAACCATCACACAATAAGCAAACCAACTGAAATATGGGCAGTTGTTGCAAAACAAACAAATGAATAAGGAAAATTATTTGTACTTAAACCCTACCTAGTGGGACTCTGGTAACATAGTGCCTAAGGCACTTGACTGCTAACCCACCAGCCACTCCTCGGAAGGAAGGTTGGGCAATCTACTTCCATAGTGATACCGCCTCGGAAACCTAAGGAGGGGTCGCCATGAGTCGGGTTCGACTCGACGGCACATAACAACAACAGTGGGATTCTGGGAGAGTTTTCTTTCTTTTCTAAATTTTCTACAAGGAACAAGTATGACTTTTGTAGTAAGACAGAAAAATGACAAATTTTTTAAAAACAATCAAACTATCAACCAGGGTATGGCCAGTTCACATTTTCCATAACAGCAAAATAGAATAATATGAAGACACAAGAACAATGAAAATGGCCATTAGTAAAGTATGACACCCAAAATGGAATAATTTATAGCCATTAAAATAATATTTCAAAAAAATATATATTAATGACAAAATGGGCAAACAGTATGATGATAATTAATGTTGAATGTGTTTGTATATTTATTTAATCTTTGTTCACAGAAAAGACTAAGAATATGCTAAAATACTAAGAGTGAGATTGAAGGTATTTCAAATTTTAATTTTTCCCATGTATTTTCTGAGTGTTCCATATTGTGCCCATATCATTTATATGTTGAATAAAGTAATGCAGTGCATTTTGGGAACAAAGGGTAGCCACTCCCCCATCTCCCCAGGCTTCTCAGCTGAAGGATCAGAGCTTTACATTCCTTGACATTCCTTTTAAATCCTCTCCTTCCAGACCAGAGCGCCCAAGTTTATGTCATCAGATGGTGCAGACAGTTTGCATAGAATGTGCATCTAACTTACTCAAAGTCCTCCATGTTTGAGATTTCTACTTACAGCTCCAGATTTTTCTCCTGAATTCCTTTTAGGGTTGGAACAAAGTCCTGATCACATCAGGGAAGGCAGGCAGCCTGAAAACCCTCTGACACCAGCCCCCGCCCCCATTCTCCCCATCCCCAACTCAGGATCTGCCGTGGTTTCTACCCAGACCCCTAGAGCCCATGCCTTCTTGACCCAGGATGGGCTCCCACGAGTCCTGGTGCCAAACTACTAGCTTCCTCCCAGCAGAACAACACGGCCAATTTTCCCTCCTTCAGCCTCATAGGTTTTTGATTCTTTAGTTGAGCATCAGGTGAAGGAGTTGGCCAGCATGGGGCTATGTTGAATACCAAATACTTTTTGCTCTTGGTTGTTGTCATAATGTTGAATTTCACCTGAACTCTGTGGTAATAGGAAATAGTGACAGTTACCGTAATCCTCCACTCTGTGTGCAGGAGAAGAGCTTACTGCAAATAACCACCTTTTCCATAGCACTAGGTAAGGCTCACAGATGCCCCCTTGTCTAATTGTGACACCCAAACCCAAACCCACTGCCATCAAGTTGATTCCAATTCACAACAAGCCTAGGGGACAGAGTAGAACCGCCCCATTGGGTTCCCAACTGTAAATCAGAAGCAGACCACGTCATCTCTCTCCCGCAGAGCAGCAGGTGGGTTCGAACGACCGACCTTTGGTTAGCACTGAGTGCCTTAACCACTATCCCACCAGAGCTCCTTAGGCCAGACACAGACCCCTCAAATTCCTCATCTTGCTCTCATGAACGAGTAACTAAATTGCCTGTCCCCATTGATCAATCAGAAACAAAGTGCTTGCTAACCAAACTTGTTAAGCTTCTCCTCCCAAGCCCCTGAACTTTGCCCATCTTCAGCCTGAGCAAACATACTCACCTTCTTCAAAGGCCCTCAGCGTAAAACATTATGATTTGCTTCCAGTGATGCTGCATGCTCATCCCACTGCCCCACACCTGGGTTTTTTCCTAGTCTTGTTTACTCTCAACTGTATAAAAGGTAACACTTTTGCCCTACTTCTTTGACACGATCGCAGATATTATGAGCTGGGTTCTCCCGATTGTACCCTCTCCCCCACTATTACAGGCATCCCCCTCCCTTTCCCCCCTTTCTTTCAGAAGAAAGCTTCTCCCTGTCAAAGTTTGGGTTTGGCTTTTATTTGACAGTTCGTCAGCCAAATGCTGCTTTGTGCATTCATGGAGATGAATGAACATAGAATGTGTGTCTGTGCAAAGGAATCTTAGAAACCCAGCCTCTCAGAATGCTGGGGTCTTGAAATCCTAGAAACAAAATCTTGAAATGCTGGATGGTTTCGGATCTTAGAGCCAAGAGGCGACAAGTCCTGCAGTCTGGGGGTCCTCCCTGCTCACTCCTGCACCTGGGCAGTGGCTCCCTGAGGCTCTCAGCGATGTGGAGGGGTTACCTCCTGGCAGACTCCATTCCATCCCTGGACCATGCTCTTGGTCAGAGAGCTTCCCACAGGAGCTTACAGCCGCAGACCACCACCAGCAGCTGAAAGTGTATGCCCAGCGCGTCCCTCTTCAATTCTCAACTTTCCAGCGATCATCTCGATCCCCATCTCGCTTGAGTCCTGACAATGGGGCTAAAGCAGCCTTAAGCTGGTCTCCTGTGATCTTATCTCCTCACACCCGCCCCTCCGCCCTCCAGGCTCAGCCAGCCCAAGCATTTTGCTGTTCCCTGAAGCTCCCAGGATTGTCCCCACCTCAAACCCTTTGTACAGCAAGTCTCCTGGTTAGGAACCTCTGACTTATGGACAACTCGTACTTGCTCTTGAACATTATACAAATTTGCATACTTTGGAACGACAGTAGCTCTGGTGGAGCAGTGGTTAAAACATTTGGCTGCTAACCAAAAGGTTGGCAGTTTGAACCCACCAGCGGCTCTGTGGGAGAAAGATGAGGCATTCGGCTTCTGTAAAGACTTAGAGGTTTGGGAACCCTTTGGGGCAGTTCTGCTCTGTTCTATAAGGTCGCTATGTGTTGGAATCGACTTGATGGCTGTGGGTTTGGGTTTGAAATGATTGAACCAATCCACGCTTGAAACAAATTCTTTATCACGATCACCTTCACTTGTTGCATATGTTGTTGTTGTTATGTTGCATATGCTGCTTTTAAATCATTGAAAAGGCTTTAAGCCTTTTCTTGCACTAACGTAAGGCTAAGTAAGAACCATGTGCACCTGCTATGAGACCTACAAATGCCTAAAGACACACTTAGGAACAGATCTTGTTCGTAACCTGGGGACTGCCTATACTGGCTATTCCTTGTGTCTGCCATGTTTTTTCCCACCTAGGTGTGCATGTGACTCCCTCCCTCTGTTCAAACACTGTCTTCTATGAGAGGACATCCCTGACCAACCTATATACAAAACAGCACCTGCCCCTTCTTCCCCCACATCCTGCTTTCTTTCTAACTTACCCACGCCCCGGCGCTGGGTGGGAAACACCTGCTTTTACCTCTTGAGCTGGCCAAGCAGGATGAGGTTGGGGAGCGTGCCCGTGAGGGTGGCAGTGCCCCCGATGCTGGCTGAGTATGGGATGGAGATAAGGAAGCCTTTCCAGATGTTCCTGCGGTAGTCCTCCTCCTTCTTGGAGTCGGTCTGCACATCCAGAGGTGCCTCCACTTCATCAGGGCAGTCTTTGCTTTAAACAAATCCAAACAGCACATTGAGAAGACATTCGGAATTTCTGGCCTCCTGGGGAGACAGGTCACACGCTGAAGGGGGACACGGGGGAAGGGCTAAATGGTCTTCCTAGATGGCAGTTTGGCACCGGTATTTAAAACCTTTAAATGTGCACCCCCTCCAGCTCCCTTATTCTACTCTAAGGATTTGTCCTAATGAAATCATTGGACAAGTGTTTTACGGGTGGTACAAGGGTGCTCACCACGCCCTTAAATGTCATTTAAAATGGAAAACAACCTAAATGCCCAGCAGAACAGGACTGGCTAGATAAAGATGATCTTTTTTTCAGGATGGGTTGCCAATGGAGCTTTTAAAAGGATGATGTACATGGGTGTTTATTAAGATGACCAATGTCCACCACGCAAAATAAAGTGAAAAAGCAGGCAACGGCACTACATAGTTTTCTTATTTAAAAACTGTCCACATATTTTTAAGGAGCTCTAGTGGTGTAGTGCCTAAGGCATTTGACTGTTAGCCAGAAGGTTGGTGGTTCAAACCCACCAGCAGCTCCGTGGAAGGAAGATGGGGCAATCTACTTCTGTAAAGATTTACCGCCTTGGAGACCCAATGGGGGTTGCTATGTGTTGGAATCGACTCAATGGCAGTCAGTTTGGTTTTTTGGTTTTATCCACATCTTTTAGGCACGTAGGCACAGTCTGAGAAGTCCAGAATACCAGGCACAAAACTGTTCTGTTGCCTTTCTTGGGGGTGGAGTTGTAGATTTTTTTTCTTTCTTGCATTTTTGGGAAAATTTTCTTTGTGAAGTTGTTGCTAGGCGCCACCGAGTCAGCTCTGACTCCTAGTGGCCCCACGTGCAATAGAACGAAACCACCACTCGTCTGTCAGTGTGTCCTGCTATGGTGGCTTGCGTGTTGCTGTGACGCTGGAGGCTATGCCACTGTTTCAGATACCAGCAGGGTCATCCATGGTGGACAGGTTTCAGTGAAACTTCCGGACAAAGGCAGGCTAGGAAGAAGGCTGGGGCTGTCCACTGCTGAACAGATTGGCCACTGAAAACCTCATGAATAGCAGCGAAACACTGTCTCATATATTTGTGTGTACAGAGAGACAGCAAGAAAGTGAGAATGGGGTCCACTCAACTGTCTTAAAGGCTGCCTCCGAAGGGAGGAGCTGAATACTTCTTTCTTTTTGTTTGTGGTTGTTGTTAGGTGCCGTCGAGGATTTCTGTTAAAATTGCCCCTTCCTGCCCACCAGCCCTGCCCTGTATCCCCCTTCCCTGCTCATTCCCCTCCGTGGAACTTGCCAACCATCTGACATACCATGAATTTTCCTCAGTTATTCATTTCTTGTCACTGGACTCTAAGCTCCACCAGGATTCTTGTCTGTTCATTGCTGTACCCCCCACATCCAGACCACTGGCTGGCTCATTGCACCCCAAAAACCCACTGCAATCAAGTTGATTACAACTCACAGTGACTCTATAGGACAGAGTTGAACCGTCCCATAGGGTATCCAGGGCTGTAAATCTTTACGGAAGCAGACTGCCTCACTTTTCTCCCATGGAGCAAATGGTGGGTTTGAACTGCTCATCTTTCAGTTTGCAGCTGAGCAATTTAACCACTGTGCCACTAGGTTCATTGTAAGCTCTGGATAAATATTTGTTGAATGAATGAATGTAACAGACCTTGGTTCCCTGCTGCCTCATCATTAGTAAATCAAGATGGCAGTGCCATTAACAAGGGCTACCAGGTGCATTTGTATGGCCTGCTTTATCAATATATCTCATTAACTCTCAAAACAGCCCTGTAAGGTGGGTTCCAGTATCACGCCCAGTTGATAGGTAAAGACTAACTGAGGCTCAGAGAGGTTAAGTGACTTGTCCAAGTCACACAGCTGGTATGTGGTAGAGCCAGGATTCAAAATCAGGTCTACATGACTCCAAACTCATAATCTTAACAATTCTGTCATCATGCAAAGAATACTGAAGATTACATGTGATGTTGTCAATGTGAAGAGATGTTCCAAGTCATTTAAAAACTAAGAGTTACCCTCGAGTCGATTCTAACTCATGACAGTCCTATGTGTGTCCAAATAGAACTGTGCTCCGTTGGGGCTTCAGTGGCTGATTTTTTTTGGCAGTAAATTGCCAGACCTTTCTTCCAAGGCCTCTCTGAGTGAACTCAAACCTCCAACCTCTCAGCTAGCAGTTGACTGCGATCATCCCACCCAGGGACTCCTTCCAAGCTGTGCAGATGTGAGGAATTATGATTGTCCCATAGGAGAGTTTTTCTCCTTAGACCTCTGGATGTTATAGGCACCCTTGTCCTCCTCAACTCCTTTGGCCAGGTGGTTGTTCTTTCCTGCTCTCTTGGGTCCCTCCTTTCAAGGGGAAAGCACCTAAGATTCTCAACCTCATAGACCTTTAGGGACTTAATGCAGTCCTCTCCCTGTTCCACGTCATCACATTTTTTTAAGGAGGCTGCAGAGGCCTGTGCATGGTGGAACTTGAGCATTAGGCCATTTGGAGAAAGACTGGGGGGTGGGGAGGTGGGAGGGGCATTGATTGCGGCCATTGACTTCTTGGTCATCCCTTGGATCAAGCCCTGGTTCCTCTATGCATTTCATCAGGGACTCACTCTTCTGTGCTGGCAAAAAATGGCATCTCCGTGGGCACGGTGTGCAGGCCGTTTCTCTGTGCAGCAGCTAGGAGGAAAGAGCACGATGCCTTTAGTGTAACACAGCAGCAGGACAAGAGTGGTCAATCAAAAAGCCTTCCTCACGCCTTGCAGCTAAATGACAGATTGGTTCACTAAATAATGACTCTCACCAGTGAGGACTAGGCTACTTTAAAAAATCAACTATATGAGACCAAATGGTCAATACTTCACTTTAAAACAAAGATGAGAATGTAAGGGGACAGGGGGACTAGATTAATGGAAATAGAACAACCAGAATGGAAATAGTGAGAATGCTCATGCATTGTGAAAAATGTAACCAGTGTCACAGAACAAAGGGTGTAGAAAGTGTTGAATGAACTGCTGTGTAAAACCTTCAGTGAAAACACAATAAAATATCATTAAAAAAAATTATTCAGGCTCCTTTCCTTGCCAAGGATTCCATATTATTCATTGAATCCAGAAAAAAGCTATCCTCCTGACCCATTCATACATGGAGATGGCCTCAGGCCTGTAGGCTGGAAATTAGCTGCAAGGCTGGTTGACAACCAATAACTCAAGCCCTAGGCTTACCTAGGGATGCCAGAGTGATACTTGGAAAAGACTATGTATGAGTGGTCATGGATACACAATGTGAATGGTGATGCCAATTGCCTAGCATTCAGTCATTCAAAAAGCGTTTCTTGAGCACCTACTATGTGTTACTGACTACGACCTCAGAGTACCCAGTGAATAATAAAAGACAAGGTCCCTGTTCCCATGGAGATTATATTCTAGAAGGGGAGAAAATCAACAAGTAAAGACAAGTTCAGGTAGTGAAGAATGCTATGGGGGAATGAACTGGGTAATATGATGGAGAGTGCCTGGCAGAGTGGGGAGGGGAAGCAGGGAGGGCTACATGTGACCAGGTCATCAGGAAAGACGCTAGGAGCCAATGCCATTTGACCGATGACCTCCGAATCCCAAGGAGCCCGTTATATGAAGAGCCCTGGGAAGATGGTTCCAGGCAGCAGGAGGAGTGGCTCAAAGGCTCTGAGGTCAGGAGAACCTTAGCACCTTCCAGAAATTAAAGAGCAGTGTGCTGAGGAAACAGGGAGTAGGGAGGACTTTGACTTCTCCTGAGTCAGACGCAGAAGATGCTATAGAGGAGTGTTTGAAGAGGGACAGGACAGGATCTGACTTGTATTTACATTACCCCGGGAAGGTCCAGCAGTGTTTTGGAGTCAAGAACAATGGGAAGAATGAAAAGTCCCCGCAGGTGGGATCACCACCAAGGGATGGGGACCCAGCCCTGAAGGTTGGATACGTGGTTGGTGGTTAAACACATGGATTCTGGGTTAAAATCACGGCTCCATCACTCACTCACTATGTGGCCTAGGTCAGTGGTTCCCAACCCACCCTGATTCTGCATCCAGGGGACACTGGGCAATGATTATCTGGAGACATTTGTGGTTGTCACCATTAGGGAGGAAGTGTTACCGGCATCTCATGGGTAGAGGCCAGGGATGCTGCTAAATATCCTATAAGGCACAGGACGGCCCTGCCCCCCAACAAAAGATTACCTCGTGCAAAAATTCAGCAGTGCTGGGGTTGAGAGACCCTGGTTCAGAGAAAGCCCTCCATTGCTCTGTACCTGTTCTTTACCTTGGAAAATGCAAATAACTGTTCTAGCATTTAACAGGGAGGTGAACACTAGCAGGGATTTAGTAAATGTGGAGAGAGAAGGGGGAGAGCAGGCCCTGACATCAGAATCTGACCTGATACCCAGAGCCGGGCCATTTTTGTCCTGTTGGACCTAAGCAACCCTGCAGAATACTAGTCTCAGACTCTGATCAAACAAGACAAAGCAAGACCGCTCATAATCTTGTCTGAGCACAATGATAAACAAGGTCATTGCACCAGACACAGAATCCCCAGCCTCTCTCTCCTCGCCAGGTGAGTGACAGCCACTTCTTCCAATCACTGAACCGCCGCTGCTTCTGACAGCCCCCAGTCTCGAGCAGAGCCCCACTTCCGCAGACCCTTCCCCAGCACATCGTGGGTTCCTTCTGGCACCCTCTTAGGCAACACCCCCTGTTCCCACTGGGTGGCTTCTCCCTCACTGCAGCTCCTAATCAGCTGAAATTCACTTAACTCAGGTGTGTTCCTGGCAGTCTTGCTGAAGGGCTGTGATACTCTGAAAGGAATGTCAGCAGGGAAAAAAAGTCTTTTGTTTGTATGTGGGATTCTCCCACACGAAGAAACCAGGCTGCCTATGGGCCAGTGCTGTTCTGTCATATAGGGGCCTGTGTGTCAGAACCGACTCCACAGCACACAACGACTCAGCCACTGGCCTGAGGGTCTGGATGCCAGCCTCGGCTCTCTCCTGCCTCAGCCAGTGGCCTTGGGGAAGACCTCTCTCAGGGCTGCCTCATTTGCTGGTACCAGGATTCCACGCATGTGCCATTTTTACTGTGCCTGAGGAGGGCCCTGCTGATCGCCAGCAGGGGTCTAAGGGCTAAGGGTCAGGTCAGCTTGCCCCGGGCCACGGTGAGGAAGGTCTCAGAGCTCCCGTGATGGGGACATACGTCCACATGCAGAGCACGAGACTGGAGCCCAGGCCACTGAAGCAGGAAGTGGAGGGCAGTTAATAGCACACTGGTGGGGAAGGGGACAAAGTCACTCCCCAGGGGATAGCCAGACAGGAAGAGCTCTGACCTAGTGACTCCACAGCCCCATCCCTCTCTGCACCTTCACACCCCAGGGGACTGGCTGCTACACAGCCCCAGGCAGCCACAGCACCTCAGGTACAGCTCATAGCAGACCTTGATCCTGGCTGCACACTGCAATGATAGAAGTCCAACCCCACCCCCATAAATCCTAGTTTAGTGGCTCTGGAAGGGGCCTGGGCCGCGGTGCTTTTTAAAAGCTGTGCAGATTACTCTTACACGCTGCGGAGAACCACTGGCCTGAAGTCACGGATGTGGAAACTGAGGCTGCCCATGCTTTTAGAGGGGGCTGGTGCTGACCAGTTTGCCACAGTCCTCACCCGGCCCTCTCACTCGTTCATGGAACCTCGATGCTGCCAGCATCGGAGTGACAGCCTCATCTGTCCTTGACTTGCTCTAAACAGGCCAGTGACGGTATGCACACAGAAGTCTATAAACAGTCATTTCCGTTAGCCTCTGGGGTTGCATGGGGTGGGGCAGGAGCTGCCCTTTTGCTTAATGTAAATGAATAAACCAGTCCTCGCCTCATGGTGACCCCTGTGCGTCAGAGCAGAACCGGGCTCCACAGTGCTTCCAATGGCTGGTTTTTCAGTCGCAGACCACCAGGCCCTTCTTCCAAGGTGGACTCAAACCTCTGGCCTTTCAGCTGGCAGTCAAGCACATTACCCGATTGCACGATCCGGGGACTTTATGCAAAAGAGTGATGTGTGCGTTTTCAAAACCAAGTATTATTTTTCTAAAGATGATGATGATGAGAAAGCTAATGGAGATAAAGCTGAAAAAGCAGGAAAGCCAAGATGCTGAGTGCCTTTAACCATTTACCCATGGTCCGCCCCGTGCTTCCTGTGGCCCCAAGGGACCCCAAGTGATCCAAGAGACCGCGCAGATACAGGCCAGTGGGGCAAAGTCTCTAGAGGCTCTGACTTCTATGGGTCCACAAATCACTGGCTGCCAGGACCTCAGGATTATGTAAGGCCTTGTTCAAACAGCAGCAGGCCAGCAGGGGGATGAAGAAATTTTCCGTCTGTCAGCTTGCAGCAGCCTCGGAACAGCCTTGGAGAGCTGCTGCTGTGGGTGCCATGGAGTCGGTTCCGACGCATGGTGACCCTATATGACAGAGGGCAACTGCCCCAGAGAAACCTAGGCTGAAATCTTTACAGAACCACATAGCCACTGATGGGTTCGAACCACTGACCCTTTAGTTAGCAGCTGATGCTTTAAGCATTGTGCCCAGAACCCCATTTTGTAACTGTGTGACATCTAGGGAAACTGAGGCCCAGAAAAGAGGATTAAAGTTGGGAGCAGGATGGCCCAACAGGTTAGAACCCAGAACTGTGGATTCCTCGCCCCCTCAATCCTGCCCCATTCCCAAAGGCACCTGGGAGGGGCAGCAGACGCCTGTACTCACAGCTCTGTTGTTGGGGGCCACTAGGCAATTCCGACTCCCAGGACCCCATGTGATGCACTAGAGAGGCCCCATGGGGTTGCCTCAGGTGCAATCTTTGTGGAAACAGATCACCAGGTATCTCTCACAGAGGCTGCTGGCAGGTTCTAACCGCCGACCTTTCAGGCAGCAGCCGAACATTTAACCACTGCACCACCAGGGCTCCTTAACTTTATCTACTCTCCCCCATAGTACTGAAATGTTCTTGCAGTTTGGCACACAGCAGGCCCCAGAGACGACCACCAGCTCCCAAGCTAGGCGGGTTTATATCTGCTTCATTTAATACGTACAAATAATCTAGAAGGTAAGCATTATCATCCCTATTTTATGGAAGAGGGAACCAAGGCCTAGAAAAAGTAAGTAACGGGCCCACTCATTCACTTGTTAGTTCATTCCACACATTTAGTGCACACCTATGTGGGCCAGTGTCCTAGGGGCACAAGGTGACCCCAGTGAAGAATGTTCAAGGACGTGATAAAGACTGACAATGCCCAGCTTGGGGTCTATGGGGTGACAGGTAAGTAAACAAACCCCTCCCAACTACAAGTGCTAGGAAACAGAAACTTGTGTCAAGGCCTAGGGTCTCGTTACCTGCTCCCCACCTCTGGACATATTATAATACAGTTTCTATGCATATTAACCACTTACTACGTTCCCCGAGTTCATTTCTGTTTTGGTTCCCTAGTGCCACTCTGACAGGAATCTACCAAAAATGACATGGCCTTAACAAACAGGAGTTTATTCTCTTACAGTTTGGAGGTTTTTAAGTCCGAGTTCAAAGCGCCAGGCTCTAGGGGCTGGGTGAAAGCCCCTCAACCTTGGGCTTCAGCTCTGCCTCTTGCTCCCGGCCCTCTGAAGCTAGAGGCATCTCTTCAC